ATATTTCCGAGCGCCACTCACTACCCTCCGCTCCCCGCCGCCGCCATCCTTCGACGCCACCATCCCCTACGCAACCATCTCCCCGCCGCCGACCCATACTCTCTTTCAATGTCTGCTTCTGGAGGGATCTCTGGGTCCGGAAGCGGGCAGCGGCGAGACCTCGGGGACCGGGGACATTCTGGATCGAGCACGGATTCAAGTGGATCCTCTTCCACAACAACGAAGAAGAAAGCAAAGCCAATCCCCTTGAATGACTTCTTGACTAGGAAGCATGGTAATCCTGCTGTTTCCTCAGCATGGAACAAAGTTCAAGATCCTGCACAACCTCTCTCGAGTGGTTCCTCCTCAGAGCTCTCAAATCTGGGTCTTCAGCTGGCCCGTCAAGTCATTGCCCGTCGAGCCATGGCCAGTCAAGCCCTGTCAGAGCTTGGCCTTGAAACCAATATCTTGAAGAGAGAGTACTACAACCTGCTGAAGAGGTAAGCTGTACTTTAATTTCAGTAAAGTATTCATAGCTGATGAGCAAGCCTGTCTTTGCGAGCTGCTTAGTGTTGATGTTGTTTCTTAGCTTTAACTTGGCCGTATGTTTGCCCCAGTCTGGAATTTAGTCCGTCGTTAACCTTGCCCGGCTATGGTTTTGTGGACGGTTTGGTTTCATCTAATAAAAAGGTGGAGAGGCCCTGTTTTTCTTGATTAAAAAAAGTAATCATGGCTGCATTTAAGCAATACAATTAGCATGCGATTCAAAAAGAAATGTCTCATCTTTAGCCATTGAGAGATGTTGAAAGAGCTGGTTTCCAGTGTACACAACCTTGCTTATATCTTCCATGCATTAATTTCACTTTTCATGCAGCTATATGACGAGAGGGGACAAGAGCTATTATGAGTACCGAGCCATGGAGATCCTCCCCAGCAAAGACTATCAGTTCAAAATAGACTTTAAGCATGTTCTCCAAATGGGATACCTTGATTTGGCCTTGAAGATTGTTGACGAGGCTGGTTCTGTCAATGGGCAAAGCATTTTTTGCCCTTTTCTAATCTGCTGGTGTAGTCATAATTGCGAGCATTTTCTAATCTGTGGTAGTGATAATTGCGAGCATATTGACTGTTATAGTTCTTTACCAGCCATGTGTTGATATATAACTTGATCATGTGTATATTGAACTCACATTTTGCACATTACATCTGAACCTGTTTTTTGTTTCTTTCAACAGCTATGGATGGTTTTTGAAAACAACAACTAATTTTCTTAAGACCCAAAGTCTTTTTGATGAAGAAAATATAGGAGCTGTGACATTGGATTTTGTAAATCTCCCTATGACGATGAGGTCTTTTTCTGAGTATGATTCTGTAGACTTGGTGAAAAGGGACATATCAGCGCTTGGTCGGACGCATGATCTACTGCTAATCATCTTCCATGGAAGGCAAGTATACATCAGCGCCGAGAAGCATGTCTTTGAGCAGCATGCAGCTGGTAAATCGTGGGCTGGTGACTTTACAGCGGAAGATATCTATATCATACAGTTCACCTCCACTGATATCAAGTGCCATATCCGAGCCAAGAGCAATACCATACCATGCACTTCAGACAACAAGGTTCTAGATATTTAGCAGATTCACAAGTCAATGGCAGATAAGTACCAATTCAATGGTAACTTTCCTGCACATTTCGAGTGCCTTGAAAAGGATATCAATTCTCTGACTGCTGTTTCATTGGATACAAGCTCGATATTGACGTATCTTCCTTACCACGCGGCATTCATGCCACCTGGGGCAAATGAGGCCATAACACAGAAGTTACATGACGCTACTGAGGGCGTCTGGATGGAGCCTGACGAGTTTCAAACTTATCGCTTGCTGTTTGAGTCAAACCCAGTTGACGGTGATGATTGGAGATTGGGGTATTGCAAATCTACAGACCCATTGCTGAAAAAGGTGTACTTGCATGACTACAGAACTGCTTTCCAGAACATCTATGGGAACACAGGGGTCCAGCTGACCTCCGGCAACACAGCTCGTGACCACATGCAGGCCCAGCTGACCCCCGACAACACGGAGGCCCAGCTGACCCCCGACAACACGGAGGCCCAGCTGACCCCCGACAACACCAAGGCCCAGCTCACCCCTGACAACACCCAGGCCCAGCAGTCTCAGGGGAGCTCAAGCACCGTCAAAGGGGTGACCCCTGACAACATGGAGGCGCAGCTGACCCCCGACAACACCAAGGCCCAGCTGACCCCTGACAACACCCAGGCCCAGCAGTCTCAGGGGAGCTCAAGCACCGTCAAAGGCACGGGGGCTGGAAACAAATTCAACAAAAGCAGGAAAAGTAAGCTTTCCTACAAACGTCACCTGAACGTCCATATCCATACCCACATGAAAGGTCAGAGGCCGTTGAGAGGCTTGTATCAAGCAGAGTTGTATTCTGCAAAGAAGAATCCTGTTCTAGGAGAAATCTTCACTGAGCTGTTCAATGGCCCGACCATGAAATTACCTAAATTGTAAGTGAAAATTTTGGAATTATGTATAGATGTGTTTTGTATATATCATCAGTATTGCGAACCTTTAACCATTCTTTCTCTGATTTGCAACAGCTTTGGTCCCATGTGGGAGCTGTACTGTGCAGCGAGGGACGCCCAGGTTGAATGAGCTCTGGACGATGATGATGAGAGCCAGCTTCGATAGCTTATGCATAGATCTAGATTTTTTTCTGGTGCATGATGACATGCAAACTTAGGTAGCCATTTCATGCAGACAGGGTTCTGGTGGATGATGACAAATAACTTAGGCAGCCCTTCCATTTTGTTAAACTTGTGGCTTGTGTAGCCTCAGTTTTATGCAGAGAACTTCTGAGATTGTGTATGAACATTTGGTTATCCTGAATGATGCCTATGTCTTTGATGTCTCAGTAGCACCAGTGTCTAGTCCCTGCCCGGCTGGCGCATCTTTTGTTGATTACCCCTATATTCTCATTTTTCTGTTTTTTTATGCTTCAGTTCCTTCTTTCCCTGCTTGGAGAAGTTGTACATGCAGAATGGCGTTACCTTTCTTCATTGAAAATTCATACTGTTCAGCTTAGCTTTTGATATACTTATTGTTCTAACTTTTGAAGTTGTTAATTGTTAATCTGTCCATGCTCTTTTCCAGTCATTAAGAAAAGTGGCAAAGAATTGCTGGCGTCTTAAACATTGGAATCTCAATATCAGATGTCTTGATATTCATCTCAAGACTATTATTGGAATCTTATAAGGGCCTTTTGTCTGAAGTTAACTTAGCCACATTCTTTGTACTGAACGTGAGAGCACTAGAGTCGATGACATTTCAGGTTAAAACCATTGATGAGGAGTTCATTGCGAAACAGCAGAGGCTGCTTCAAGAGGTGCTCAGTTTCACTTTATGGCTGGTAGATGTCTTGGAGGTATTTCAGACATCTGGCATGTTCGTGATTTGGATCTAACTGATCCCTTTGTACGTTGATGCTGACACTGGGCTCCGTCCGTTCATGAGTTGTCCATGTCTATCTTATTTTGTGGTTTGTCTTCCTGTGTTGGCTTTAGTTTTTATTGTCGTGGAACCTTATGGCATTTAAACATCTTATGTGTGTCATCAGTTTTTGTGATATAGTATGTGTGGCTAAAACATCGATTTTCTGAAGCACAGTCTAGCTGAAGATTTCTACTGATTGGATAGTACTATTTTTGTGTAGTTTGTATGACTGCGGTTGATTGTTTTTTTTTTAAGGAAACCAGCAAAGCTGGGTTGGTTTGAGACTGCGGTTGATTGTTACTGTGGTCCATAGCTTATGACCACCATTTGGTTAATTTTTTCCGTCAGCTTTGAACGAAACAGGTAGCATATGGGGGTATGGTATGTCCATGGTTTGACTGTCAGATGTATACACCAATAGCTGACTATACAAATAGGTGTGGATTGCCATATATTTGTCCTGAAACTTGTTTGCTAATTCTGGCATCCACTCCCTTGGTAGGTCGAACATTGTAGTTGAAAATTTCCAACACTTGTTTTGTGTCATAGATAGTATATTCATGTGGGTTATCATGTTGCCAATATTTTAGCCAGAGCTACACTCTGCCTATTTTGTACAAGGATTTGGCAGTTCCAGTCTTTACCTGTACTTGTAGATTATAGTGTATCTTCAAATTGGCTGTATATGTGGTTGGAAGCAAAGATCTGGAGCATGTAGGGAGCAAGGCTACTGTGTTTTGATCAAAGTCCCGGGTGCCCGCCGTCAGGCACAAGGATAGAGGTTTCTTCCCGAGAAGAAGCGACTTGTAGCAAATGCTCAGGTAAAGAGAACACCTATGCAAAGGTGATGCCAGCCACTGACATGTCTCACTTTTTTTCCGGTGGACTCAACAGTCCAGAGCAGAGGAAGCAGAGGATGGTAGAAGAAACAGAAGGTGACTACTGAACAAAGATGAGAGAGCCTGAAACACATTAGACGAGCAGCTTCTTCATGACCAGAGTTGCTGACCACACTCTGCTCACGCACACCTCCAAGCACTGTTCAGTCATGGGCTACACACTTTGCACCATGCTGCTACTCACCAGGTCAAAGGCTACACAATGCACATGCCTTGTACACTGGAAACTACACTACCTGGATGCCCAGTCGATCAGCAAGAGCAACCAGTTACAAAGCTTATTAAATACGCACGTACGTACTACAAGATTAAAGAATAAGCTAACAGTTCCTGTGTATCTCGTTTTGTGTTTTGTCTTGACGCGTCGGTATCTTTTTAAGTTTGTATCGTCGTGGAACCTTATTATGATGTTCAAACGTGATATGCGTGTTGTCAGTTTTGTGATAACCGTGGAATTTCTGAAGAATCTCGCTGAAATTTTAACTGATTGATTCTGTAAATTTTGGTATGGCTCTGACTTTGCATGTGTGATTTGTGTTGAGAAACCAAAGGCAACACAAAAACTAGTGCATTTTGGCAGGCGGCTCCAGCCTCTGAACTTCAGCATCGTATGTTTCAGCTTCTGAACTTCTGAAAAATGGAGGTCCTGCACGACCACGTTCCATCTCGGCCGTCCATGAGCGTGAGCGCCCTCTGCATCTTCCTCCCGCAGAGCAGCTCCACCTCCACCTCTGCCGCGTACGTTGCCGTCACCGGCTTGTGGTCGTCCGACAGCGTCAGCTCCGACCTCCTTCTTCCCGAACGACAGCACCACGCCGGCGTCCTCCTCCCGCCCTTCTGGTCGTCGCTGGTGTACTTCCCCGTCCCGATCTCGTACTTGTACGTCGGCGCGAACTCCAGCACAGCACTCCCTCGCCCCACCCGTCGAACGCCCGCCCCTTCCTCATCTCCCGCTTCAGCTGATCACACACGCCATTATGACAGCAAACAGAGCATCAGCAGCCCAGTTCAGAGTCCATGGCGGAGATGCTGATGAACGAAACTGGGTACCTGATCTTTCTCGGCTAGCTGAGGCCAGTCCATGGCGGCGATCAGGCTGTGGGTTCTGTCTTACGGCACGTCGATCCGGTAGTTCAGATCGCCCAGCCAGGAAATCCTCCTGCGGAAGAACATGTCTGTCAGATCACCGGGTGGATGCAATTTCGTAGTAGGATGTGTGCGTCAGTGCGTGCATGATCAGTTGATCACTGACTCGTGTTCGTAGATGTCTCGGGACAGCTCGAGGCCGCCGAAGCGCGTCCGCCGGTGGATCTCCTGCACGTCGGCGTTCCGCTTGAGGAGGTTGCCGGGCCGCTCGCCGGCGGACAGGTGGGTGCACACGAAGCAGAACATGCTCGCCGTCGCCGACACCGACCCCTTGTCGCCGATGTAGCCCATGGCGCCCACGCCCACGGCGGACACCTTGATGTTCTGGACGCGCCTCCGCAGACCACGCCGCGCCCAGATGGTCAGGAAGATGCCCACCATCTGCTTGCTCACGGTCCTCACGAACGGCGACCTGCCGCGGCCCTTCTTCTTGCCATGACCACGCGCGCCTCGCCGTCGAGGTCGGGGTCCAGGTCTGGGACCATGGCAGGGCAGTCGTCGGCGGCGACCCTGGACTTCATGAATGACCTGTGCGCGCCGAACGATCTCGGCGACTTGAACAACGCCGATGACAAGGACGCGGTGACCATCAGGTCCAGCGGCTGCTCCGGCCAGGCGAGCCCGATCCTGTCCGTCTTGCTCATCGTCTTAAGGAGCGCCCTCTGCTGCGCCCTTGGCTGCTCGTCCTCCATGGCCCCGAGCATCCTGGGGGTGGCAACGACGTACTCCTCGGGGTGCACCGGGAAGCTGAAGCCGGCGCGTCGTCGTCGGGTTCGGTGTCGGTGACGCCGGGGAACAACTCGTCGGAGTCGTCGCGGGTCGTAGTGGCCGGGTGGCTGCGGTACCAGTAGTTAGGCCTCGAGCAGGACGGTTGCGTCCGCGTGAGCATGTCGCGGATGAGCGCCTCCCACGCCAACGCCGGCCGGTCGTCCTGGAAGCTGAGCACGTACATGTCGGCCTGCCCGCCGCCGGTGGTGCCGAGCCACTCGGCGATGTCGAGGCCTTCCGGTGGCTCTATGCCGGCGGCGTTGTACGTGCCAATGCAGATCCTGCAGCAGCAACCACGCCAAGAACCGCGAGAAAATGGAAAATGCGCCGCGATCGTGCTGAGCACTTGGATTGTACCTGAGCTCCTTGGTGTTGATGTACTGTGCGCGCATCGTCTCCGAGTTCCGCCGCCGCAGCTTGTACGGCGCCGCGTCCAGGCTCTCTTCTGCGGATCGTTCAAGAAAAACAGGGTGCTCCATGAGGAATTACTCTGAACTTTGCTTCCGATTAGTTCAGAATGCGAATTTGGCAGTGGTAACAGGTGTTGGACGGGCAGAAGCAACGCCGATCAGCGTGAAAATGCGCAAAATCAACCACGGTCAAACGGAACTAGCTTGTCGTACGCATGCAATTGTACTGTGACACGATCAACACGGCGGTCGTGTCATGTGGTTGCACCACATCGCACCCTCTCGTGAGTCTTGTTTGCGCAGGCTGCCGCTGTTGCCCCCAAACGACCATGAGAAACAACCACACATACCTCTCATTTGTACGGCAACTCAACTGGGGAAGTACTAGAGTACAATTTACTCAGAAGAAAAAAAACACCGTCGCATTTTTGTAAACCACCTGTGAATTTTGTGAGGTTCCAAAGTCCACATGATCTCGCTCAACAAATTATCAACATTGTCAGCACCAGTGGTCTAGTGGTAGAATAGTACCCTGCCACGGTACAGACCCGGGTTCGATTCCCGGCTGGTGCATTTTTTTCTCTCTTTAGCTCGTGAATCATTGATTTTTACGCACTGGAGCATTTCTAGCGGAGGTTACATGGGAGGAAAAGAAGTACTACTGTCTAAGCTCCTTCTTTCCATGTACTGCGTTCTACTAGATCGCCGGCGCGGCAAAGCCAACGGTGAAGCGCCGACTGAGCAGTATCTTGCAGCGATCACGGCCGGCAAGTGCGACACGTCAGGCAGAGAGAAAAAAGAACAGGTCAGCGGTGAAGCAAGGCATCAACGCTTTCTGCCTGCAGCAGCTTCACACACCACCGGTGGCAGCATGCAGCACGGCAAACACACAGTCATCCGGTGAGAAGGGCAGATGCAGCAGCATCTAAGCCACCGTCCACTGCAAAACAACCAACCTGCCGGTGACCATCCTTTGGACAATCTGGTCCTCATGGTTTCAGGGTTCACAGCAGATGAGCAATGCAACTCCAAGAGATTCTTGGAGACATGAACTATGTAACAGGTGTGAAATGGAAAGAAAGCTTGTGTAAACCGTAGAATCGACTATTCTGCGCAGGTCTAATTACACGACACGGTCAACTACTACCCTAAACGATTTGCAGCCAAATTGGCTGATGAACAAGACTCACAGTCACAGGACTCCACAGAGCTACTCGAGAGGCGATGGATGCTATAGAAGAAAAAGAACGAGCCATGCACATGATCAGCTGGTTGGGTTGCAGGCTTGCAGTATTCTAGGCTTCGTGTCCCAGTACTGGTCCAACCGATGCCTCGCGTACTCCTTGTACTCGAAGTCGATGTTCTTGTTCACATGCGCCTGCGGAGATAGAGGAAGAACCGAAAATAACAGTCAGCTTTCATAGATTGATCATTAACAGAGTAGATACATTTCAATTGCCTCTTGTTGTGGAGCTTACCGAGACTATTCCCCAGAGACCCCAGAAGAGATGGCTTGTGAGACTGTACTTTGCAATCAAGCCAAGCAATGTTTCGACTTCTACATCGGATGGGTTTTCTCCTGACGAACAAAGGAAGCATTTAGGAACAGCATACTTGAGTGATGCATTAAATTAGTTTTAGCGTGCAATCGTGCATTCTTTAGTATTCATCACATTTCCAGCACAGCAGAGTATGGTGTTCCCAAAGAACTCTTCAATTACCTGAAGAACTAAGGTAAGCCTCAAGAAATCTCCTCTGTTCATCCACGTCTGAAATTATGCAGGGGAATCAAACAAGTAGTCAACATGTGATTAAAAAAGTGTGAGACACATAGCCATCTGGTACATTTGGTTATTGAGAAACTAACCAGGATATTTTGTAAAGTCCATCACGTGCGGTGTATCACTATGATAATCAGCAGCCATCTCGCAGAAGTGATTCGCAATGTCAAACGCAACAGGGTTAAAACTGGCGTATTCATAGTCCTGAAGGATAGAGAGATTAACAAAAGTGCAATCAGGTACAGAAAATAAACAGGCAAACCAAACTGTCAATGTTCCTAGAATCACTAAGCACAAAGAAAAATTACGAGTCGACTATCAATAACTGAGAATTTTATTTCGTGCTCTTCTAAATGTGCAACCAGGTGCTAGTTTATGCTTAAATAAGGATTGACAAATATTTATCGGTAAGCAGTATTGACTATAACCATAATTGAGAATTTTTCTTCTGTGCTGTTCTAAATATGCAACCAGGTGCTAGTCTACCTTTAAATAAGCATTCACAAATATATGTTGGTATCCATATAAACAAGGTCAGGTCAGTAACAACTACTTACAATTAAGGTCACTTGTCTGGTCTCTTCATATATCATAATGTTCCCATACTGCAAATCATTATGGCAAAACACTACTCTCTGATCGACCCCGGACAATACATTCTCCAGCTCCGCAATCTCATCGCCGAGCGTCTCCAACCGCAATTCCCTAGCCTCCTCAGTCGAGCACCTGCTGCGAGCTTCCTCAAGCCACCGCCTGATTCATACAATGCCCTGCAGTTAGCTTCTGGTCGCAATCACGCACATCTGCCACCCATAGCATAAGAAGGAATCGCGATTCACCAAGCCTACCTCAGCCTCTGCCAGAGCGAGATGTCCTTGGGTCCAGGCATGTCGAGCTCGTGAAACTCCCGCAGCTTCCTGGCAATCAGGCCGGAAATCTCCGGGTCGCGCAGATCCGGCGCCGAGAGCGTCTGAGCAGACACCACCACCAGCGACATCAGAAGGATAAATGGCATTACAGTAGGAGTAAGGAACAGCAAGGCATTGCGTGATTGCCACATGGGTGATACGTACCCTGGCGTTGATGAACTCCTCGACGCGGCCCTGGGGGAAGCGGCCGAGGAGGCGGGGGCCCTGGCCGTGGCGGGACATGCACTCGAAGGTGCGGACCTCGTCGGCGCGGTCGAAGAAGACCTCGACGCCCTGGCCGTAGATGCGCACGAGCACCTTGCGCGGGTCGCCCTCGCCGCCGGGCCAGGTGATGCGGAAGACCTCGTTGGTGAGGGCGCCCTGGAGCTGGTACACGACGAGCGCGGCGGGGTCGACGTCGGCGCCCCAGAGCTCGCCGGCGAGGCGGTGCAGGATGCGGCGCGCCTCCGCCGGGATGCGGTCGATGCTGGAGCTCCGCCGCAGCTCGGGCCCGGAGTCGGCGGCGGCGGCCATTGGCGTCGGCGGCGCACGGCGGCGGGGCAGGCGATCTGCGGGGGTCGGAGGGGGCGTGATGAGTCGTTTCCCGTTGAGTTCGCGAGAGCTGTTTGATGGGGAGGGGATTGGGGTGGGGTTTTGGGCGTCGGAATGGCCGCGGGATCGGATCGGATCGGAATCGGGATTGTTGTGCTGGGGAAAAGCAGTGGCAGCTGGCAGGAGAAGCTTCCAGGGAGAAGTTAATAATTGCACGAGGAGCCACGTCGGCTGCTACGTTGCGCGTCTGGTGGACACGTGGGAGGAAGAGAGATGCGAGTTTCACTTTGAGGTTTTTCTAAATAAAGTGCATCCATGTTGGTTTTTATTGGGTCCTGATATTCACCATACAACATGTGTGGCATATTAGCTATCCGTCCACGCATCGTATGTGGCGTAAACAGGAGGCAGCCCGCACTGGTCATGTATGGGCGAACATTAAAACTGCTCATACGTGTGGCACGAAACAAATATGTCCATGCGTCATGATGCAACTACGTTAGTTACCCACGGGTTGATGTTTTAGTTACCCTGGGATGGCAACTTTAGTTATCTGGGATGACAAATGTTGTTATAAAAGCATGGCAACTCTCTGTTTTGGTTAACTATAGTTGCCATGTCTAATTTATGGTAGTTGCCGCATGTAATCAAACCATAGTTGCCGTGTGTGATTAACTACTTGTCACATGTGGTTGAATAATAGTTACCATATGTATTTACCTAATTGCCATGTGTGGTTAACCATAGTTTCATGTGTGTTTACCTCGTTGTCAGGTACGCGCAATTGCAATTGCATCTAGCAACGTGCGAGTGTCCGTGGGCGAAGAGCAGTTCACCACACGCGGGCTGACTAAATGGTGACTCTGTGGGTGGGAACTGGTTCGCCCATACGGCGCAGTCGGGAACCATGCGCTGCAGTCGTGTGGGCAAGCGCTCTAACGCTGTCACGCCCAATATGCGACCCTATCCAAAAGGAACTCGAAGGTCCCATCAAGGATAGACCCGCATATTGAAACGCTTTTGCAAGGTGGATATCATTACATCAACATTACATAATAGATGGGGATACATACAAGAGGCATACAATGCCACACGAATACAACAACATCATACAAGAGATCAACATCCGACTACGGATGATACATAAACAGAAACTCAAACAATATCCACCCTGCTAGCCCAGGCTGCCGACCTGGAACCTATCCCCTGATCGAAGAAGCAGAAGAACAAACTCCAAGACAAGCAACATCGCTCTCGCGTCAAGATCATCGCATAACCTGTACCTGCAACTGATGTTGTAGTAATCTGTGAGCCACGAGGACTCAGCAATCCCATTACCATGGGTATCAAGACTAGCAAAGCTTAATGGAAAAGGAATGGGTAAAGTGGTGAGGTTGCAGCAGCGACTAAGCATGATATGATGGCTAACCAACACAAATAAGAGCGAGAAGAGAACAAGCGGAACGGTCGTCAACTAGCAATGATCAAGAGGTGATCCTGAACACCTACTTACGTCAAACATAACCCAGAAACTGTATTCACTTCCCGGACTCCGCCGAGAAGAGACCATCACGGCTACACACTCGGTTGATGCATTTTAATTTGGATCAAGTGTCAAGTTATCTACAACCGGACATTAACAAATTCCCATCTGCCACATAACCGCGGGCACGGCTCTCGAAAGTTTATACCCTGCAGGGGTGTCCCAACTTAGCCCATGACAAGCTCTCGCGATCAACGAAGGAATAGACCTTCTCCCAGGAAGACCCGATCAGTCTCGGAATCCCGGTTTACAAGACATTTCGACAATGGTAAAACAAGACCAGCAAAACCTCCCGGCGTGCCGACATCCTGATAGTAGCCGCGCGTATCTCGTCTCAGGCCACGACCGGATGAGCAGTACGTACGACAACCGACGATACCCCAAGTTGCCTAGGGGCGGCACCGCAAGTGGCTCTGGTTTGGACCAACACTTAGACAAGCATTGGCCCGGGGAGGCTATAATAAAGATGACCCTTGGGTTAATTACTCCCAAGGGAAAAGTAGGTGGTGGTGAGGCAAATGGTAAAAGTCAATGTTGGGCCTTGCTGGACAAGTTTTATTCAAAGCGAACTGTCAGGAGGGTCCCATAAATCACCCGACCGCGTTAGGAACGCAAAATCCGGGAACATAACACCGGTATGACGGAAACTAGGGCGGCAAGAGTGGAACAAAACACCAGGCATAAGGCCGAGCCTTCCACCCTTTACCAAGTATATAGATGCATTAATAATATAAGAGATATTGTGATATCCCAACCAAAATCCTGTCCACCATGGAGAAATCTTCAACTTCACCTGCAACTAGCAACGCTATAAGAGGGGCTGAGCAAAGCGGTAACATAGCCAAACAACGGTTTGCTAGGAATGGTGTCAAAGGTTAGAGGTTCATGGCAATTTGGGATGGCTTGATAAACAGGTAATAGGTAGCGCAGCATAGCGATAGAACGAAGCAACTAGCATATCAATGATAGTAGTGAGATCCAGGGTAGCGGTCATCTTGCCTGAAATCCCGCAAGGAAGAAGAACGAGTCCATGAAGAAGATGAAGCCACGAAGACGAACCACACGTAGACGAACGAATCCTCATGATCGCAACGAAACGGGAACTATCGAGAAGAAGCACACAACATGGTAAACACACCACACATAGACAAGACATGATGCACAACAAGCATGATGCATGACAAAGGCTACATGAAGCTACTCATGGCAAGAGATGATGCAAACAAGAACAACACATCAAGGCAAGTTTAAATGAGGCCGGAAACAACATATAACAATTCCGGTAAGTCCTCATATGCATATTTCGAAATTGGTCCAGAACTGAATAAACCTTATGTTCGAGTTGTTAAACAGCAAGTTAAGATGCACCAAGATGATCTACACGAAATTCTAGTCAAGTTACATATAAAGTTCATTAGATTCGGAGCTACGGCATAGAAGATATGAGCAAAACAAGTTAAACATGGCATTGATGTAAAATGCAACCAAACATCAAGCAAACACCTCACAACATGGGTGCAACATGATAATATGAAACAACATGCAAAATCAAGCAAGTATCATATAGAACACACTCAAAATGGAGCAACGGTGCAACACACACACACACTATACAAGTCATAGCAACAATCTGTCCATAACAGCAACTAGGCATCTTACAAGCATCAAAACAATAAGCTACAACACCCCAACATAATAACAAAAGGCATGGGCATGAAGTACAGGTAAAGCATAACAAAACATGAACACTGAGCTATCTCCAGAAACAACAAGAACATGCTCAAAAAGACATGGATATATTGCAAATAATAACAGTTTCAGACTTTAGCAGAAATAACATCAGGTTGCAATGTTTAGAGCTATCAAACAACATGTTACAGGAACATATCATGGCAAACAAAGGCATGGCATGAACCTACTAATAGCATAGATCAAAAGACTCTTACTGACCATGAGCCAAAAAGGATCAGAAAATATGATGGCACCCATGTAAACATGGCAAGTTATATTACAGATTCATACATGGCAGGAACAACAACAAGTAGGCATGTTCGTGAGCTTGAACCACTCACTATAGAGCCATACATGGCATGGAAAGGCAACCAACAGTAAGAAGGCATGTTTATGAAGCTAAGCATGTTAAGAGCAAGGTCATAGGATACATGGATCACTAACAAAACACATGGGAACAAGAGAACTTAATGTTAACAGGCTGACAGCAACATTTTCAAGCAACTTTAGAGCAAGATTACAACATGTTCCAGCAGGCTATAATTGCAACCAAGGGCATGAATGGATAGAGCATGAAATGTAGATCAAAACATGTTTATAGAGAATCTCCAGATTATGCATAGAATGAGTAGTAGAAGCATGTTAACATAGCAACAAAATATAACAGAATCTGTCAGGAAAACAGCAACAGCAACTACCCTACTTAGCAAGCTTGATACACTCAGCACACAACTCACAAAAATACATGGTATACACCCCTGAAAAGATGGCATGGCATAGATCAACATTCATGTAGAGCTCATACTCATAAGATGCACACATCAATCATGGCAAAAATGATAAAACAGCAAGTTATAACAGTTTCAGCAGATTAACACCAACAAGCACTCTTCCAACAGCATTTCGGACATCAAGATGAGCTCAAATGAAAATGATGCAATGGTATGAAATGATCTACTCGTCGAGACGAACAATTTGACATATTATACGCACGAAACGGAGCTACGGATGCAGAGATGTGATGGCATGAACATGGCATGATAATGTATGAAATCTGGGACTTGGTGGATTACGGGGTCGACCTCGGGTCTGCACGGTTTACGATGCGGCGGCGGATCTCGCTGGAGTTCACGTCGGAGATGACGGGGTCGCCGAAGACGGGCGGATCCGGGCCGGATCTCGCCGGATCCGGCCGGAGACGGCGACGGCGAGCGGTGGTGCGGCGAGGAAGAGGCGCGGCGAGGGCCGGGCCGGGCGGCGGAGGGGCGCCGGCA